TTCTCTGAATAGGGTCCCACATTCTGCTCATGCTCCTCACCCTAGATGGTCCTAGGATCCTCTGTTCCTGGACTGTAAGATTAACTACTCCCCACTTTTTGTTACAAAACTTCTACCTTTACAGTTGTGACAGTTGTGATTAGTTATGGTAACAGTTACTCACCATTGAATCATAAGAATCTTATCCCCATCTCTTTTCACCAGACCCGTCTAGAAAGATGAAAACTATTCAGTGGGGATTCTACCTTCCCCTACACACTCTGAAACTAAACTACCTCTTGAAAACTTGTAAGCCAGTCACTTCATGCCTTTATAGCCCCCTTATTTTAGGTAGCCAATGCCTATACACTTAATTATCTTTTAATTCTGTTTTTCCATGACCTTTTTTTTAAGGTTTTTATTGTGGATTGAGTGATAATTTATAGGGCAGATCATCAGTTTGACATTCAACAAATCATACAGTCTGTTACATTATAATGATTATAATACCCTCCACGTACCATCAGTTAACAGTATTTCTTTCTATTCACTTTAGCTTTTTTTTTTTAAACAAAACAAAACAAAACAAACCAGAAAAACCCCACTTAGGCATATATAATAATTTACACCTCCAAGGCACATTCTGCAAGTCTGCCTCCTGGCCACCAGCCCTTAGTCCCTCTCTTCCCACAAATCTAGAGTCCTCAGCTGCTCCCCCTCTCCATTACCCCATCTCTTCCTCTGACTCTGGCGTAGCTGCTTCTCTGGATAAGGTCCCGCGTTCTGCTGTGCTCTTCTCCCTTGATGGTCCTAGGGTTCTCTGTTTCTGGACTGTAAGATTAACCACTCCCCTGTTTTTGTTACAAAACTTCTACCTTTACAGTTGTGATAGTCGCAATTAGTCATGATAACAATTATTCACTATTGAATCATACGAATCTTATCTTCATCTCTTTTCACCAGACCCATCTAGCCAAGATGAAAACTTTTCAGTGGGGACTCTTTCTCCGCACCCCACCCCCCGCCCACTCTTAATCTAAAGTCCCTCTTGAAACCTTGTAAGGCAGTCACTTCGTGCCTTTATTGCCCCCTCATTTTAGGTAGCCAATGTGTAAGTTGCCCATCCCTATCTACTCTGTGTACAGAGGGGATAACATTGATACTTGATGTGAAGACTCCTTCCCTCTCTGTTCGTATTTGGAGTTACTACCTCCATGAGTATAAGTCAGGTTCATCAAATTGTAGCAATTTACCCTGGTGTCCTTATCGCAATTTTTTTTTTAACTCTTCCACAGTCAAGTTCTGATTATCAAGCCATCGAGGCTAGGTAAAAAGAGTACTACCTGTAAGTTTGGGTGTTTTTGTGCCACTCCCCTCACTTCATATCAACTGGATGCTTCACTCTCAGCTCTAGCCCTCTGTGGCTATGTCCTTGTCCACAGGCTCAGGTGTCCTCAGGTCTCATCACACTTTGGGCCAACCAGCTCTTCCTCTGTTCTCTCTCATCTCCAGGTCAATAGGAATCAATAGACTGTGGTTGAACTCAGCCCATTTCTTTATTGCTGCTTTCCCCCCTCTTCCACTCACCAGTACACCAATGTGGTCACCAGCAAGCTTACATGCTGTCAATATGTTCCCTTTGAGTTTCAGTCTTAGAGGGGAGTTTGTACTGAAGGAACTTGATTGCTTGCCTTGATGGCTTCCTGGTGACCAGCTTTCTTATTCTTGTAGGAGCCAGTCATGCTGACATTTTTGTTTTGTGTTTTTCCTGATGATCTTTCTTTGAAGATGTATCTTCTGTTGTTCTAGCTGTTCCAGGCTGGTCTGCTTGTCCTTTCTATTGGAGATATCCCACCTCATACAGTTCTGGATGGGACTCAGGATTCCACCTAAAGTCCTATACTATGCAAAGACTATTTCACTGGGCAAGTTCTAGAACCCCTGTTAGGTATTCCCATCAGTTATAGGCTGAAGACGGGCTTACAAGTTTTCTGCAATCATGTTTCCCAACATTCCTTTCTATAGCACTCAAGTGTCTATTTTACAATAGTGGGCAAGGGAAACCAATATTCATAAGACAGGCAAGCATTTTAGTATTACTTCTCCTCTTCAAACTATGCCTAGATCCCTGTATTGCAGAGCTCTGTTGTTCCAAGTTTGAGCGTGCATCACTATTTACCTCTGTCCCACTTTGGCCATGCAAACCTGTCTCAGTGGTCCCCTATCTATCTTGTTCATCCACCTCCTCTTCCTTCTTGTATTGCCCTTCCCAACACCTGAACTAAACCTCCCACCCCAACCCCACTGTTGTGGTTACCTTATATTCCATTAATTCCCTCCATTTAGTGCAGTCTATTTTATCCTATAATCTACCTGAGTTTCTCACTACCTGGATCTCTGTGCCTCTGTGTTTACCTTCTTTCACATTGTAATTGTTTTGATCATAGACTGAACTCCCAGATCCTCTGTTCTTTTACTTTTATTCTGTTCTTGACTCTTCCATTTGTCGGTTGAGTTCAGGGTGATGCTGCCACGTACGTCATTCTCTGGTTGTTGTTTGTTCTTGTTGGTTCTCAGTCCACAGAACTTCCCTTAGGATGTTTTTCATAGCAGTGTTGGCTTTGGCAAAATCCCTTAGCTTCTGTTTATCCTGGAATCTTTTGATTACACCGTCACATTTGATTGACAGCTTTGCTGGGTAGGGGATTCTTGGTCGGCAGTTTTTTTCATCCAGGGTTTTATATATTCTCCCCATTGCCTTCTTGCCTGCATGGTTTCTGTTGAGAAATCTGAACTTATCTGATTTGCTTGCCTTTGTATGTTACATTTCTCTTTTCCCT